GACGCACACGAAGTCTTGTCAACGAGCAAAGGACTGCCATGTTTAACTGCGCGACGCTGATAAATATGTGGAGCGGAAAATCTCAGCACCTACGGATGTGCCCGGAGTGCTGTGAAGATAAATCCAACTCATACGTGTTCAAACGTGTTATACAAACTGTACGTAAAAAAAAAATGGAATTCAATCTGTGTAGTATAATTATTTTACATATGAAGTACACAAGGAAGTACAATATCCCGAGTGTTAACGGTCTCTAATTTGCCCCATTATCTCTAACTTACACTTCCGACGATTATATCCTTTATTTGTTTATAGCCTTTTCCTTTGCATTCAGAGGTGGATTTGCCCACATGCCAGGTTATCCGGTGGTAAATGGGACCTGTGGAGCATGTTGTTAAATAGTTAATTGCGTATCCTTTACATGACGTTGCAGAACCAACCCCAACAGCCCCTGGCTGTTGTGTGGTTTTTCTAGGCAAATTTACGTCCAGTAGTTTCCCCTTGCTTCTCGACGGTCGGCTTTCTTGATACCACTGTCGAAACCAACGCAAGGTGCATGGCCCGCAGCTGGGATCAAACCCGGCATTACGAAGCGTTCGCATCGACTTAGCCACAGAGCCGACTATGTTGTTAAATATTAGACATTAAATCAACAATTTTAATGGCCATCTTCTTCTTCTTTAAGTCCATGCCGTGTAGCATTGGTATCGTGTCCATCCACAGCCATCTTTCTCCTGTACTTTCAGTTGAGTTGTTGAGTTGAGTCAAGACTTCACATTACAGCACTCGGGACATTTCCATGCATGCCCCGTCCTCATCTTCAGCAGCCAGCACAGAGTTCTATTTCGTGTACTTTCAATCACCAGATTATTGAAATGTATGCTTTATTCATTTAACCCCTTTCTGCCTATATTTCATTACATATCTGCCACGTTCTCAAACCGTCTAGCATCTGTTCTCTCGGTCTCCCTCTGCCTCTCCTCCCCTCCTACATTTCCTACCTTAACGATGTACTCCACTTTTCTCTTTCTCATCACATGACCAAAAAATGTAGATTGTCACTTTCTGATGTTAGCAATCAGTTTTTTTCGTGAGTCAGTTTCTTTCAGGACGTTTTCATTACTCTTTTTTACCCGTCAGGGTATTCCTATCATTTGTCTATAAAATCATATCTCCGTAGCTCCCCCCCCCCCCCCCAAAAAAAAAAGCTTTCACTAATTTGCTAACTGTCTATGATTCACATCCGTATATCAATATAGGATTTATATAGATTTTAAGAATTCTTTTTCTCGTCTAAACTGACGAAGAAAGATAGCATAAAATATTCTTCATTTTCTCTTTTCACCCACCCCCTCCTTTTTTTGGGGATGGGGGGGGGGGGGGGGGTGGAGTATCTTTTGGCAACCAATAGTATCTGTATATCCTTTTCATATCCCTTATCTCCAGGCAATTATGAAAGGGACCGTCTACATTCTTTGATCATGTTATGAGTAGGAGAAAACATGAAAGATTACCTGTGTCAGAACTGACTGAAAGGACACTAGACAGAAGGTTGTGGATATACATGACTACCAACACCACACGAGATAGGCTATAAGAAGTTATAATTTCTTTCGACTTGACCGGATCATGATGCGACAGCTCTCATTTCTTTCTTTCTTTCTTTCTTTCTTTCTTTCTTTCTTTCTTTCTTTCTTTCTTTCTTTCTTTCTTTCTTTCTTTCTTTCTTTCTTTCTTTCTTTCTTTCTTTCTTTCTTTCTTTTTTCTTTCTTTCTTTCTTTCTTTTTTTTTTTTTTTTTTCTTTCTTTCTTTCTTTCTTTCTTTCTTCTTTCTTTCTTTCTTTCTTTCTTTTTTTCTTTCTTTCTTTCTTTCTTTCTTTCTTTTCTTTCTTTTTCTTTCTTTCTTTCTTTCTTTCTTTCTTTCTTCTTTCTTTCTTTTCTTTCTTTTTCTTTCTTTCTTTCTTTCTTTTCTTTCTTTCTTTCTTTCTTTCTTTCTTTCTTTCTTTCTTTCTTTCTTTATCTACCTAAATAGTAAATGAATAAGAATAGTAAATCAACACTGAACCGGTGTCATAAGCCACTACACGCTGAGGGAGATCCTGAAGATCTTATGGACTGGATGGTTCGACGTGCGATGATGATAATCTGCCATTTCTGGCTACAGCGTTACTTATTTAGATGTATGATTCCACAGAATGAAGTGGACTTTCAATTTGAGGGAGAAGTTATCGCTTACTTGATACATTCTTATTATCCTCACTCTTCTTACTCGGTTCCCTTATGCGAAAACATTATGTTTCCCTAGAAACAAACTGAGTATTTTCAGCATTGTAAAGTGCTTTACAAATATATTATAAAAAAACTACCGTGTAAATATGCTTGTATACTTACCTCTGTACCATGTTAGCTTGTAGTTGCTTGTGTCGTAACATGTCTGCCAGGGAAGCCGCTAAAAAAAAATAATGTAGGTAAGGGTGGAGGACTCTTTAGAATTATCTAGGGGCTGGACTCAATGGTCTTAATCTTTGTTTAAGTGCGCAATAATATTAATTTTTATCTAAATAACTAAGTTAAAGAGCCTTTTCCACGCCTTCAGCCATATTAGGCATATAGGGCTAGACCTATATTTTATAGACCAGTTGGCACTTGGTGGGTTACTTCCTAGGACTGCACCTGGTACCCATTCCAAGCTGGGGCGACCTGGAAACCAAGGTTATTTTTTAAGAGAAAAAAAGTCAGGCTCCTTCAGGACCCGAACCCATGACCTCCCGACCCTCAGGCGAGCACCTAACCGGTGCACCATGGCGACTCCCAAATATTATGTGCTAAATGGTAAATAAATATGATATTCTTGTTGTTGTTGAAATATTATGGAATGTGTGAGCACATAACAACTACTGGACGTTAATTTGCCTAGAAAACCACACAACAGCCAGGGGCTGTTGGGGTTGGTTCTGCAACGTCCTGTAAAGGATACGCAACTAACCTTGCATTGTAAGCAAATAACAGAGAACCGCTATACATGGTTCCAGCGCCCCTTACTTCTGTTCAAACTGTGAACTGCATATCACAAGCACTTCAACCTTGCTTGAGGTGATAACGAACAATAGTGACCTTTAGCTTTTATTACACCGAGATAACCACTGTAGGTTAGTTCTATTAATTGTTCTGTTTCGACAGAATTGAAACCTCAAACCTCAAGGTCATGGGCAACAATGTGAGTATTATAATCAGTCTTTTTTAATTTGTGAATGTACTAATCCATGTATACACATAGTGGCCACGAAATTCATGTGGGATGCAATTTTTCGTTATTTAAAGCTGGCTTTTGCAGGGGCCACAATTATAGCCGGGCCATGAATGTGGCCTGACGGCTTAACGGGGTTTCTGGATCCTCTCCACGGGTGATCCTCATCCGCATAGTGGTACTTTGTGTCACCGGGTGTTTATCTCTTTGTGTGATGTCCTGATGGGGTACAACTTACATACATACATACTTTTGTGAATATAACTCTTTTGCTACCATGCGACTTACCAAATGTTAATTAGTCATTTTAAGAGGTAACGTAGAGAGGTAACAAGCAGGTTAATAGATTAGCTGTCGATATTCCTCATGGCGGTGAGCTATTTTATGATAAAGGGGATGTGGCAAACGTTTTCTGGGATCAAACAAAACGGAGAATCCATTCACTGAAAAATGAATTCACTTGCAAACTTCTGTTGTTGTTGATCTGTTTCTGTAGTAAAGTCAAAATAATATGATGGCCATTAAAAAAAAAGGAGAATTGTAGCAAATGGACTGGTGACGACAAACAGTTTAAGGAAGAGAAAATTATGGAAAAAAAAATGTAGTGTGAAAAAAAAAAGTTACAACGGTTCATCATCATGTAGCAGGTCATTTGCAGAATGTCGCTCTCATCATGGTCTGCCCGAAACTTAGTCTCTCGCCAGCTGTCCCACCTATTGTACTTCCATATTCAAGGAGTCAGTTATATTCTGTATCCATCTTGGTGTTGGTCTGCCTCTGTCCTTCTTTCGTGGTACCATGCCCTCTGCTCCCCCACCCCCAATCTGCCATTGTGCTTAATATGACCAAAATATTTTAACTTTCGAGACTAAATGCTGTTTATTAGTTAATCTACCATGATGTTCAGATCTTTTATAATGTCAGTATTACCAACGGTTAAAAACATAAAAATGGTAAAATAAACACAAGTGGTGTTAAAAGTGATCTAAAAGAAAATAATGACAGCAATTTTGTTGAAGTACAAAAATGTGACAGTAGCAGGAATTGTATAAATCTTCTTTTTTGCCTTTACCGGCTGATTGTTTATCCACTCCTGGACTTTAGTCTTCTCCCAGAAGCTGATTGTTGGATGCACATTTGTTTTACAGATCTGTCATATCTCATGCAGACTGCTGGTTCATTGCCTCTCAGGCAGATGAACTCCGACTTCAAAGAATGCCAATTAGTCAACTCCTACAACATGCTTGTTGGGGATACAGTGAACCTATGGTGTCACGTGTCTTATTAGGGTTTACCCTAGTAATAAAAGACACTCTGAAGTTATATATTGTTGGGATGGTGGCTCATATTGGTCTAGGCAGTACTCCGCAGCTCCAACAACCATCCAACACTACTTCAGGGATGAGGCGCCTCAAGTGTTTGGCTCTACAGAATTTCCAAAGATATTCCCAGGGCATGACTTGGTCAGACTTCCTCAAAATTGGATGGAATCACCATAACAGTCAAGCAAACACAGTATCAACAGGAATCTGATCTAAGACAAATACACACAGAAACTAACGAAACAATGTAATAAGTTCCAACAGATATATATATATATATATATATTATATATATATATATATATATATATATATATCTATATATATATATATATATATATATATATATATATATATATAAAGAAATCACAGTGGAATGATGTAGCAGAAAGAACAATCAAATAGTATGACATAAATAATGTCTAATCAGGAATGACTACTGTCCTGACTTAAAGTCACTGACTTGGTTCATTATTGCAGTGAAGATAAATAAGGCCATAGTAAACCCATGCATGAATTGACCAGTTGGCTGTACTTCAGTTCAACAAAAAAAAGAAAAAGGAGAAAAGATTGCACAGGATCCAGTGGAATAAAGGAATATACTGCATACCCTATCATACATACACTGGCTCAACAGGGTGATGATGCTTTTGATGATAATGATGATTAAAATTCTTAGCACTATGGGAACAATCATTATTTCTGTACTTCTTATCTCATGACAATAAAACATATGGATACATTTAAAGTATCATGCCAGTGTTTCTAGAAAACCAATCAGCAATTAATCAGTAACCAATTTATCAGTAATTTAAAATTATGTTTTTTTCCAGATTGTCATTCCTTATTCTGGCTATATTCCTGGTGGTTTACACATAGGAACTGATGTGTCAATTTCTGGTAGAACACATCATGACTTCAAAAGGTAATAAATCACTTTCTCTTTTATCTCTCAAATAAACTATATGAGAATTAAAGTAAAAGTCTCCTTAATTCTGCTAGAGGTCTACTAGGTACAAGAGTTAAAATAAGTAAAGGACCATCCTTCCTGCATTTAGTAAAAGTAAAGTAAAGGACCCTTTTCCACGCCTTTAGTCATATAAGGCATATAGGGCTAGACCTATATTTTTTATAGACCAACGGCACAAGATGGGTGATGTGGTCAGCATCACGCCAGCCGCCTTTACTTCCTGGGACTGCACCCGGTACCCACTCAAGGCTGGGTCGACCTGGGAGACCTTGAAGAGAAGTCCGGCTCCACCAGGGAGCGAACCCATGACCTTCCGATCTGTGGCGTGCGTCTAGCCGCTCTGATACGGCGACTCCCCCTGCATTTAGGAGCACTGTATATTTTGATGGTTATCACTGTATTCATTCATAAAGACCAAATAGACCCAATATTAACCAGAAGTCTTATATTATACTGGTTGACTTTGTAAAAGGAAAAAAGCAATTTTCATGGCAGTGAAGCATCGGACATATGATACCAGACTCATATTTTGTGTTGACCAGTGATTCCCAAACTGTGCGCCGCGGCGCCCCGGGATGCCGAGACCTCTTCATACGGACACCGCCAAATATTCGAAGATACACAATTTTTTTTTTTTTTTTTTGTGTGTGGTAATCTCTTACATATAAATAGTCATTCTTTTACTTAGGTTAGGGCGCCTGAACAAAATTTAATTGAATAAAAGGCACCGCGACTAAGTAAAGTTTGGCAAACACTGGTGTAGACCAATCAGCCATTGGTGAATGATGATGTCATCACCATGCTGGCCACCTTTACTTTCCAGGACATTACCTGGTACCCATTTAAGGCTGGGTCAACCTGGGAGTCAAGACCAAGTTTTGAAAAAAAATCTGCCTCTGTGTGTTTTTTAACACAAGACATTTGGGCAGGCAGGTGAGCTTCTAGCTGTTATGCTGCTGTGGTTTCTGCTGAATGACTTTAATTCAAAATTATCAGAAAAGTATACTGAAAAATATATTATACTTAACGCTTGTAAAATGTAAGCATATAATATGTCATAATTAACATATAATCTATGCAATATTAAAAGCAAACATAACTGACAAGAATAAATATGAAATAACAGGAAAGAAAACAGTTATATATTCCAGTTGTAAAGTAGATCGATTGATTGAATTAATACTTCTTCTTCTTCTTCGCGTTCACCAGCTGTAAACTCTGGCGGAAGGTTCTGGTTGCTCGTCCACTACTGAACTGCAGTCCTGCTCCAGAACCTGAGTGTTGCGTGTGCATCAGTTTTACAGATCTCATTCTCTTGAATACAGACTGTTGGTTCCTTGCCTCTCCGGCAGATCCACTCTGACTTCAAAGGAAGCTACCCAATTAGTTGACTCTTACGACATGCTTTTGGGGAGGCAGTGGGTCTATTCTTGTTTTCCTCACAATGGGGCCCCGGAACCCACACGGGGGGGGGGGGGGGGGGGAATTTAATACTAATTTACTTCTTTAGGTCAGGTCTTGGTGAGATATGACTGAGCTACCACCGTATACCAGTAGCTGGTACTACCTGTCTTCTTTTAACGCTGAATGTTGGGCAACATATACCAAACCTGACATCCCATACTGTGCCAACAGCTTCAGGCGGAGGAGTGCATTTTGAAGGACATTATCCCAAGAAGAGGAAATGCAACATGAAGACTTTATGTCACAACAGGGCTTACAGGCTCTTACCCTAGTCTGGCAGCAGCTGGTCTAGGAGGGAGCTCCGACAGGTGGATAGAGCATTGCTCTTCTGATCATGCAGCTTCTGCAGCCAGCTTTGTTCGAGGCATACTGGTGTTATCTTTCCTTTGGAGTAAACAAAGCAGGTCAAGAGAGAGTTGATGATGAATGGGCAACATATGGTCTCTACAATACAGCCCAGGCTTTGTGGTATGGAGAGGAGGAACTGAAACACTGACCTTAACTGGTCTCAGAAACAAATCCAGAGGGAGCAGTTACGAGTTCTTGTCAGTTGGCATAGACAAGGGTGCCCCGGGCTGCTCCTGATGATGCAAAGAATTCTTTTTTATGAGGAACTAGATAATGCTGTGAAATCCTAAATCTGACAGCATCTACATGACTGGTGATTTTAATGCTCGCATGGGGCTGAGCTAAAACTCATGGTCAGTTTGTTTTGGAAAATATAATTTTGGTCACGTGAATGAAAATGGACAAAGACTATTGGTATTCTGCACTAGAAGTGTCCTGTACATCATAAACTCTTTTTTTTCAAAACTTGGGACCACCATAAGGTGTCATGGAAACATCAAAAATCTGGCCACTGGCACCAGTTGGACCTTATTCTTACAGGGAGGCAGCACTTAAACTATGTTGGACTAACTCGCAGCTAGCACACTGCTGACTGTGATACTGACCATTCCCTAGTTGTTACAAGAGTTTGGAAGAAACCAAAGAGAATATTCACTTCAAGAAATCAATATATCCCCAGGTTAAATATTTTTAAAACTAAAGAAAGCTAAATAGCTTTCACAAGTGATGCCTTAAAAGAATATCAGGCATTAAGTGGCAGGACAAGATTACAAACACTGAGGTATTGGGAACAGCAGGCATTTAAAAAGTCTTCTCAATGCTCAGTCTACAAAGGCTCAGGTAGCTGGGTCATACCTGGATAATAGAGGATGGCAGAGTCCCTAATGACATCTATGGTGAACTACAGATGGGTAGAAGATGTGGAGGCTGAACTCCATTACAGTATAAAGATTTGTGCAAGTGGGGCATGAATGATACAGGTATTGAGGTGGACTCATGTGACCATGTCATGGACCACGTCATGTGGAAGGGGCACATTAGGAAGGGAATGAGAATAAAGGAATAAATTGCTGTAGAAAGGATGAGAGCTGAGCCTCTGAGAAGAAACACTAACACAAATGATGGCAACTACGGACTAGAAATTTCATGCTATAATTGTGGAAGATTTTTCTTAACGTGGACGGGTCTTGCTAGTCACACTTACCATCACCAATGACTGAAAGTCCCATAGCACAATGTCACACTATCATCTGGAAAGACGGAAAGGTGCCAGTCACTTTACTTTTCAGAAAATTGTCTAGTACGAATTTGGACTGGTTTGACTTGGGAATCAAGTTGAAAAATATCCACACTTTGTTTAGGGTTCCAATGTATGACCATTAAAAGTGAGGTAAAGGGTGCTTTATATTCTGTATTTCTTTTGCTTTGTGACTTCTAGACAAATGCTTTTCCAGTTTTGCTGTTAACACATACTTAATCATTACTTTTGTGGCAGGTTCAGCATAAGTCTGTGCTCTGGCCCTACCTGGGACAGTGATTGTGCATTTGTTTTCAACCCAAGATTTGATGATGGGCGAGTAGTCAGAACCCACAAGCAGGGTGGCACTTGGGGTGTTGAAGAGACTGATGGAGGGATGCCATTTCGTAGAGGTCACAATTTCGACCTGCACATAAAGATTGATCACCATGGTTACAAGGTAATGTACTGAAAAGAACTCACCGTCCTGGCTATTTAAGTTGATATTTTCTTCTTTATGTGAGCATTTCATCTTAGAATGAATGCTGATTGGTCTATAAAGTATAGGTCTAGGCCTGTATACCAAATATACCTAAAGGCATAGAAAAGAATACTTTACTATCGGAGAATGCAATGTCTGGCAGAAAATTTACCACAGATTAATTGTTTGACAGTAAAATTTTAATCATCTGTGTGTGTATGTGTGTGCTTCTGTGTGTGTCTGCATCTCTTCTGTGTCCTTGTCGAGTAGCGTGTGCCGTGTTAATATGTTTTGTGTAATTTTATGTTGCATTTACATCCTGCAAGAATAGTCGAAGATCCTGTTTATTTAGCATGAGATCCAAAGAAGTGAGGTGAAAACAAACACCACAAGAATTGTCCTGTGCAAAAATGAAAGCATGTCAAACATCACAGAATTAGCAGTGTGGTGCAAAAACCATGCAGGTGCAACAGCAACTAATACAGCACTGGAGTTGTCAGCTTATGGATACAGGTTAAGCTAGATGATAGAAGGTCGGAGTAAATGTTTGTATAAACAGTGAACAAATATTGTCATAGCTGAAAAATAATTGTAGTTTTAAGATATATTAGCTTTAATTTTAAGAGCTGCTTAACGTCTATACTCTCAAGCAGTGTATTGATGTGTAATAAGAAAGTCAACAATATATTTAAAACGCTGTGTGGAACTAGAAACAAGCTTAATAAAATGATACATTTTATCTTAAAAACACTTATGTCAGTGTAAAGATTAGGAATGCGATCACAAGAAGAGACATTTTAAAACTGAGAATTAAATTAGCAAAAGAGTAGAAAATACATACATCAAATTTGGGTTCCAGGGCTCTACTGGGGATGTGGGAATGAGAATAGATTCACCACCACTTAGCAAAAGTGTCATGAAAGGTGACAAAT